ATACTTATTAACAAAATATATTTCAAATGGAAATTCTAATATTGTTTTGTTTGTTTGTTTTTTGTTTAACGCCACACTCAGAAATATTCCAGCTATATGACGGCGGTCTGTAAATAATCGAGTCTGGACCAGACAATCTAGTGATGACATCATGAGTATCGATCCACGCAGTTGGTATGATATTGGATATTTCAACAAGTGTCATCTACTCTTCTCTTAATGTACAGCAACTATATGTGTAACATGCACAACTATATAATGAAAATGAAACAGAATAAAAAGCTAAAACAAAAATCATGAAAGAATAATTGGACTACTTCTTTGTTGGCATGTTCAACACACCATTGTTCAGCAGACATATACAGAAAGATAGACAGACAGACATACAGACAGACAGACAGACAGACAGATAATTGAAGGCTCACTCTGTGTGTACAATATATTAAGAAATAATTACTACAGTAAATTATACAAAGACATGAAAAAATAAATTATGCACACACACCATTTCAAAGAGAAATTACAAGAGTGTTCATAAAAAAATATCCGCAGGGAATTTAGTATACACAATAAAACACAATTGGTATAAGATAGAGTGAACAAGGACATAAGTAAGAAAAATGACATAAAATATATAAAACATAAATCACAATAGGATGTAAACAGATTATTAGTATAGGATCTTTAAACTTTAATTGTGTAATACCGTATTCGACATAATAAGCGTCCAGGGCGCTCTCAAAATTAGAATTAGGGTGCTCTTATTAGAATATTATTTTGGTGAAAAAAAACAGAGTTGAAAGGTCGTAAATTTCGTGGTTTATACTGACAGCCTGAAATGTTTTTATACGACAGATATATTTTTCAAGAATTTAATTTCCATAATTAAGGATGCATATAGCACATGTATTATACACGGAAAAATAAGTCTTGTGTACATTGATCAATCGGAAGGGGTGCAAATTGGGATTGTTCACTAGCCAATATATTAACAAATATCGCCGTGGGCGCTTCTTAGAGCAGGGCGCTTATAACGTCGAATACGGTATGGGTACTTTGGGTACATAAAGACATGTCATCCTGTCCTGTCAGATGTGACCTTATTGCTATCCTTCAAATCCTTCAAGAGGTTCCAGACAACATGATATCATAGCACAATCCCCCAGTTGGGAACATCTACCAACATCAGCTCAATCCATGAAGTGGTTGCAGACAAGAAGACAAACACTGAAATGTTTACAGATGGCTTGGTGTTAAATTACGAATACAGTTTAAATAAACTTATGCTGCCTTGATCTTTCAGTGCTATGAAGAATCTACTTGTTATAATCTACATGTATTATTCACTGTCACATTGATAAGGAGTCAGAGCTCCAGATAAGCTGCGAATCTGCGTAAAATACGCATCAAAAATGCAGAAATATGCAGTAAAATAAAATCCAAGCGTGTCAAATACGCAACAAACATTGCAGATTCGCTGCAAAAATAAAACTTGTGTGTATCATCAAAATATTGTGAAGTAACCCTGCGTATTCGATTAGCAAATCAGCAACTTATTTTGAAATTATAAATGGACATTCTGTCAACCTTGCCAAACTCCACAATGACAGTTACATCATGATCATTTGCCATCACACTTTCTTGTGGAAGTATCGTGATATTTTTTAGTCCTATAAAGCTCTCGAACCCACACGACACCAGTTTGCAGGGACTAGATGAATAGTGTTTTTAAATATTTAACTTAAATACCTACATGTGTAAAAACTAGTGGGTAACAGAAATTTGAATACCCAGATAGAATTATTGATACCCAATGATTTTAAAATGCATGGGTAAAATACCCACAACGCCAAAAGCTTATCTGGAGCTCTGTAAGGAGGTAACCAATGTAGCTATTTTGTAGAAACACTCCCTGAATACTGATGAGTGCGTGTGTGAATCGGGTTTAATGCCGCTTTTAACAGTATTCCAGTTATATCACGGCGTGTCAGCGTGGGAGGAAAGCCCAAAGTGATGCAGGTCTCAGATGTTTACCACTTCGGTGAAACCCACGAGCACGGATATGGTGCTGACAAACCTAGAAACAAACCTAGATTCGAACCCACAATCATAGGTTCCTAGCGTGCCCAAGGGAAGCAACTCTGCACAACGAATCGTGGCACCTTAGACGACTGGGCCACCCGTGCTCCCCTTCCCCTGAATACTGAGATGAATAACTCCTGTTGAGTCTAGGCACTTAATACCTTAATACCTTAACACATTGGGCAGCAACATATCTACATTTCTTCTTAATGTTCTACAAAACAGATTGTCTCAGAAAATCAGTAAAAGTATGAAGGTTAAGATATATTTGAAATACACTTGAATCACCATCCCCAAAAGAACACAACATATAATAAATACACTTAAATAACCATCCCCAAATGGAGTGAGTGAGTGAGTTGGGTTTAACGCCCCTTTTAACAGTATTCCAGTTTTATCACGGCGTGTCAGCTTAATGTGGGAGGAAAGCCCGAAGTGATGCAGGTCTCAGACGTTTACCACTTCGGTGAAACCCACAAGCACGGGTATGGTGCTGACAAACCTAGAAACATAATCGGGGCAAACCGGGATGCGAACCCACAATCATAGGTTTCTGGCATGCCCAAGGGACGCAAATTCTGCACAGCGAATCGCGGCGCCTTAGACGACTGGGCAACCCGTGCCCCCCGCCAAATAGAACATAACATATGTCTAAATACATTTGAATCAAATCCCCCAAATCACTGCTGCACGTTTGTTTCCAAATTCAATTTAGATCTACAGGTAACCTAGCTCTACATTGAAAACACAGTATGTATATCTCCTTAATCACCATCCCCAAATGGAACACATCATAAAATAAATACAGTTGAATCACCATCCCAAATAAAACACAACATAGAGTATCAATCTGAAACACCGAGCTGAATAATACCTGGTGAAATAAACATTGCATGCAATTTAAGTCCTCTGAGATACCATGGACACCCCTCTCAGACACAGTATACTGACTCAGACCTGACCTGTCCTTGTTTTAGCACCTTAATGCCGAATGCCAGGCAGGGTAAAACAAGTACCATATTTTAACATATTTTGGTGTGACACTAGATCGAACCCCCAACCTTCCACTCTCCAGACAGACGCTCTATCCACTACACCACAGAGGCAGTTGTACAAAACATTTTGTCTGAAGTATTAATCAAATGGACATGATGAACAAGATGCATATTGTTGATGATCTCAGGTAATTTACAGTTCCTTAAGGTATAAAATATCAAGTTGAGCATAGAGTTTATAACTTATTAGAATGTGTTTATAAAAATACAACAAATAACATCCTTGAGTACCTTTAACAAATACATTAACATTTGTAGAAAGAAAACCAAACTAGTTTGGAATAGCCAACCTCATTAATGTAATACAATATATCTTATATAAAAAATACTTTTGCTACTTGCACACACCCCATGTAGCTGATGTAGGAATCTAAAACGGGCAAAACATCAACAAATGAAACAAATATGGCAGCCAAAGGGCTTCAACGTAAATAGAGAATCTCACCCGAGTGTCTTTTGATATCAAATATATCAACACGAGTTGATAAAAGTGGAAAAATTGCGAGGCTTGCCGAGGATTTTTGCCTCATTTATCAACGAGTGTTGATATATTTGATATAAAAAGTCACGAGGGTGAGATTTTATTTATCATCCAACATCATTCCTCCAACTTTTTCAATTTGTAGACAGTAATTAGCATTGTTTTCAGTGTAAAAAGTACTGCTAACAGCTTCATTAGAGATGTCATTTGATTGTGACGTCATGGTAACCGGTGACGTCACAATGGTCTGCAAAGCATTGTGATGTAATTTCATTGCAGCGATATCTACAGTGTAGATATCGCTTGATCTAATCCAAGCCATATCTCCTGTGGGAGCCAGTTTTGGATGATAAACATGGTTAATAGTTGGATTTCTTACACAATGTGTCTTTTCTGACAATATAAATGGATTTGCTGTTGATAACAAAAGTAAACACAAGGGAATCAAGCCCGCAGTTGATAACAAAAGTAGACTTCAATGCTGGGGAATATATTGACCAAAAAATATAGTCAGTAACATTAAAATACATTGAATATGTGACCATTATTATCACTATTTATGTATAAGATTCTGTGAGCAACAGTAGCAATTATTACAAACAGTGTGCATTTTATATCATCTTTATCATCTATCTGTCTAGATCTATGTACAAGGCTTTTTTACTCAGACTTGCTGAAAGTCATGTTTTGCAAATGAATTAAAAGATTTCCTGTTTGGTTTTTTATAAAATGTACAAATATTCTATAAATCATGTACAAAACATTTTTATGAATATATACATATATAACACCTTGTCAAAAAATCTCACAAAATGTAAAATGTTTTACATTAGAAAAGCAGACATTCATACAAAAACTATTCAATACATTTTATTGTAGAGTACTTAATCAGGTTTCTGTACTTGGATGGTTTAGAGAGAACTTGACTACCGTAAACCGTGATGGCAATCTCTATATCCCAATAACATCTTGGTTTTCTGTTCTGGTTAAGAGTTCAAGCCGATATCTCATCACCCCGATTGCAACAATACACTTTTGTTAATATCATCCCATCATGTCAATAACATCATGTAAGATATTATGAAAGACCTTTAACCGATTCAATTATTTATACCATCCAGACACAGATAATATTATTGTATGGTGATATTCAAATTTCATAATTCGCCATGATTCGAGTGATTCACCATGCCCAAGATAAGGCCACTCTTTTTATGCTTTACATTTGATCAATCATTACTACAAAATCTAACAGCTACATTTTTCGTTTCTTTTTACATACTCACTCATTCATTTTTTAAATATTTATTTTAAATATTATTTTATTCTATTTATTTTATTTTTTTATTTTTATTTATTTTATTTTTTTTGGGGGGGTGGGGGGGTGGGGTGGGGGTGGGTGGCATTCAAGTTCTTATTTTACATAAATAGTACACACCTTTAATCACTTTGACCACCAACCAAATGATTTATAACAAAATTTAAACCAAGTCATAACATGTTACATCAGCAGCCATTACAAGTATACAAGTATATGCAACAACAAATAAAAAGGGGACCCAATTCTCAAATTGGTTAAAGCAAGTGGATTTGGATAGAGGCATTTTGTCAACTTTACAATCCAATTGTATCAAGAACCAGTATTTACAAGATACTACATGTGCTGTCTTTATGGTAGGGATGAATTTGTTGCATTTCATGACATTCTACCATGCATATGCAAATTACTCAATTCTGGTTGTGAAATCACAAAATACACCCTCTGATTGAAACAGCACATTTGACGACTGCATTACCATGGAAGCCAATTTTCACAGAATAGTACCTTTTTCAGTCATTGTCAGTAGGCATATGTAAATAATTATATCTACAATCGTAGGTTACAAATTGCAAAGTTGTGGTTACTACAATATTCAAAGGATATGTGGTAATACATTTCTCCACAAAACAAATGAGAAATCTACAAAGTGAATGTGTTTTAAGTTTTGGGGACAACAGAGAGCATGGAATTTGGTGCTTTTTTATATACGACTTTGATGTCATATGTTTTGCGTCACAATGAACAATATGACATCCATCATAATGGGGAGGTGCGGAACTAAAGCTTTGCAAAGCTTGCTTAGTTTTCTTTAAACTGCACATTCGGTTCCAAATTCAATTTAGCGCGGTTAAATCTACAGTTAACCTGGCTCAACACTGAAAATAATGTTTATCTCCTAATTTCCTCATTCAAAGATGGAGGAAGAAAATCAAACAAAAATAAATCAATAATTTAACCCTTTTTGTGAAGACCTGGAGTCATTGGTGATTTTCAGTGATCCATTCATATAATTCTCATTCTATAATTTGCCTTTAATGCCTAATTGGATCTGTTTTGACAGGTAATCGACACTGAATATTCTTGTTGACATGTTATGTTTAACCAAGACATCATCCATCTAGGTAAATTTAAACCTAACCAACCAATGAGAGACTGCGTCAGAATGACCCTTTCACATAGCATAAAACAGTGTCATGATGCTGTGACAAACACTATCAACACCAGGCATAAAATACCCAGTCCTCTCACAATAACAGCTTGAGAATGTTTGAAAGCACTAAATTAATCAATGTCTTTATCTTTGAAAAATAACATATACACTGGTGTATTTTCTGTCTGAACAAAACATACATTGCAACAGTTTCAATTGAAACTACTGCAACAGAATGCTGTATACAGTTGCTGTTTGCTTTTATTTGCTGCCTGTTCTAGAACTGTCCAGCAAGTGTGTCCTGGCACCAGTCAGTTCTTTCATCTTTTGTTCCAGGTCAGCTTTCTGTTTGCATTCCTGTGAAATGAAACGTTTTTCATAACAATTTCCTTCCTTCCAGCTTCATAGGCTTTAAGGTGAAAATGTGAAAGTTAATAACAGATGGTTTGGTTTAGTTTAGTTTGTTGTTTAACGCCGCACTCAGCAATATTCCAGCTATATGACGGTGGTCTGTAAATAATCGAGTCTGGACCAGACAATCCAGTGATTAATATCATGAGCATCGATCCACGCAATTGGGATCGATGACATGCATCAACCAAGTCAGCGAGCCTGACCACCAGATCCAGTTAGTCGCCTTTTACGACAAGCAGAGTCATCTTTTACGGCAAGCATGGTTTGCTGAAGACCTATTCTACCCTGGCATCTTCACGGGTCTAATAACAGATGGACTGACAGAAGGATGGAGCCTTTGGTGAATGAACTATAAATGTACCATTTCATTCCATGGATCAATATTTGTTATCATTTGTTTTACAAAAGCACTCAAAGGGAAGAATTTGCTTGACATGATATCCTGGAAGTATCTCAAAGATAACGCTTAAAAGCATTTGGCATGTCACATACCAGCATTTCATTTGCTGTCGTTTTGGTCAGTGAATAAAATACTTACATGATTTGAAAGCACTTTCTTCCTTCGAAGACTCTCCAGTTTGTCTTTAACGTGTGTGTGTTTGCTGAACAGGTGACCTGGGGACAACATCAGCTCTCCTTCGGCTCCCACTTGATGGGTTATCTAAAGTAATGTCATATGCCTTTGGCCCAGACCAACTGAAGCCAAGGACGCAGTAGACCCTCTTTAGACACATGGTTCTCTTTTTTGTTGGTTTGGAAGTTGGAATTGTGAGAGGGAATTTGGTTCCTCCCCGAAGCTGAAGGTCCAATTGCACTTCCTGGCCACTCATTAGTAGTGTCCCCTCAAGGCGCTGGAATCTTCGTCTGGCCTGGTCAGACCGCCAGTACTCATCGTCCCGCATTCTGCCTCCTCTCTTCATCAGTTCCTTCTGGTACACAATTTCTGTCAATCCTGAACCGTTACCAAGAAAGAAAAGAGTTGTATCCTTTTTTCGTGAAAACTGTTCCAAGTCACGATGCTTTGGGTAGTTTGTGAAAAAGGCCTCATTCCATCTGTTCACAGCTTCCTGGAGCTTTACTTCAGAACAAGTATTACAAGCCTGTGCCTTCCTACTTTCTGTTGGGAAGTGAAAAAGAACTAGATAGAGATACGTCTCCAAATAAGGCCTACCATCAGGCTGCTTGGCATTGTACAGCTTCATACTCCATTCTAAAATTTTTGAATATGGAATAGGTGCAATTTTTGATGATTCACCAATATGAAGGGTAATAACTGTATTCAAAATTGTCACCAAGTCAAATGCTGTACAAGCTTTAGCTTTCACATTTTCCTTCATCAGGTCATAAACTCTCACCAGTCTGTCTTCCCAGTCCACATGATTCTCATACTTCAGAGAAAGGGCTCCTTGCAAAGATGTCACCCCCATTCTACGTGCATACCTTCTTCTGTATTCACAGGCATCTTCATCACTAAGAGAGCCCGGTATTTCAGTAGACACCTCTCCAAAATGTGCACTCACACTTTCCTTAAGTTGAATAAGACTTTTTCTGTCAAAGTGTTGGTCTAACTTAAATTCCTCTCGTGAATCAGATTTTATCTGCACAGATTCATCTTCCAGTTTTCGAATAGTTTTGAAAGCTGATTCCCCTAGTGATTTCATCATCTCTTCTTCATGTTTCTCTAAAAAGGAGAAAGCGTCAGTTTTAAAGTCCTTGTCAACAAGGTACCTGTGGAAGTCCCTTGCACCAGGGAAACTTTCAAAGTGACAAAATGTCTCAAGTAAACGGAGGATGACCCTGAGTTCTCCAAAGCAGCCACCATTATTTGTCTTGAAACTTTTCTCAGTTTCACTAAGGATTTGTTCCTTTCTGAAGATGTTCATAGCTTTCTGTGCCAGCTGGAGGATCACACTGGCATCCTCTTTGCTGATTTTGACTCCTTTCTTAGCCCTTTCATAGTACTCGAAAAGTTGCTGTTTATAAACCTGTCCATAAGTATCCCAAAGGAAGGAGCTATTAGGGCGATTTTGTGTCGCAATACCAGCATACCTCTCTGCCTCAGTCCAGTTGCTTGTATGGATGTAATATCTTGCAATCTGTTGAGCAATCATTGGATCATGTGTTTTCCTGTGCACTTCAACAAATATTTCAGCTGCTTTTTCAGATCCTTCAGTTTCATGAATATGCAAAATGAGAGGTGAAAATCTTCCAATTCCATCTTTTCCTGTGACTCTTTTCTTCACAACATTCTTAATGATAGTCAAAAGTTTGTTGGTGCTGCCATTTTCATAATCAAATATGACAGATGACAGAAACTCAATCATGATTTCACTTGTTTCTAGACAGTTTTCCTTTTGAATGTAACGAAGAATTTCCTTTGCAAGAAGAGGGCTGGTGATCCTTATTGTCTTTATGTGTGAGCCATGAACTCCTCTTTGTGATGACTCATTCACTAAGACACGCAGAGAAGTACTCATTTTTGTTTCCCACCCTTTTTGCCTTGATCCACTTCTCTCCAATACTCCAAACTGCAAAATTCTCTTTTGTCTTAATTGCTTCTCAGTGATTGGATCAAAAGCAGACACTGGCATTGTTTGGAAATCTACATCATATGAGTTCAACAATGACAAGTACCTAATTAACACTGACTCTTCTGTGTCATCAATTTGTCTCATGAACTCAATGACTATTCTCTTGATGTAGTCACTATCAAAGTTGGTCTTCAGAATATTGAAGCTAACCAAAAGTTTTGGATCAACCTTTCTGTCTTCATGAAATTTCCTTTCAAGGGTTTCATATTTCCTTTGAAACCATTCTAGTTCCCATCTGTGAAGTTCATGCTTTAAAAGAATTTGTGTTCTATCAGATCGTTGAATATCCACACCGCGATGGCACCATAGGACAGCACAGAAAATGTTCAGGGTTTGATCCTCATAATGGGAAGCCACTTTTGCTTTTTCCTCAAGTTCAAACAGCAATTGATGAACCTTATCCTTCTCTTCATTGTCGATGAGAATCAGAGGTGGTTTCCTTGTTGTTGGCTCATCATAGCTTCTCAATTTTGCTATCTGTGCTGCCGTTTCATCAGTGATCTTCCTGACTACGCAACATCTGTACTTTTCCTTCAGATCCCAGAGAATTTGCCTTGATGAAGTTGTCCCTCCTGCACCTGGCTGATGCATCAGTGTCACCAAATTTACCCTCACGTCCTCATCACGGTTGGGGTTTTCTAGAGATTTCTCCACCTCTTTTATAAGGTCCTTATGCTGAAGCCTCTTTAAGACATGGTTGTCTCTGAACCAAAAATTCATCCACTGAACTTGACTTCCCCTGAAGAATTTCTCTTCAACTTTCCTCCTCAACAGCTCCCTTGACTCAGCGTTATTCAGGGCTTCATCTGCCTCACACTCTTTGCTGCTGAGTATCTCCAGATCACACATTTCAATTCTTATTCTGTCTTTCAACACACAAAAGGCTCCAGTTGAAGTGGGCAGTTCACACACCCCTGTTTGTTTAGGGCTAATAATCTGTGTGAAAGTGGAGTTGACATGTCTCCAAGGCATCCCAAGAATACATCTGTTGTCCAAAGATTTCTTTGATACGACATTTCGCATTATTAGTTGCTCTTTCCACAAGTTGGCTATCTCTTCTGTTTCTGCAACAACCATCCACTGGTCTTTAAACTTGAGAATCACTTCATCTGCAGCTTCTAAAAGTACTTCATAATTCTTTGAAAAGAGGAATATCAACAAGATACCTCTGCCAAGAGGAATGCTTGAATGAAAGAATCTAAGGGCCTCCTTAAAGCCATCAAAACGTTTCTGTTTCCAGTCATATGGTTGCATTTCTTCCATTCTAAGTCGGCTGTAACCATTACAAAAAATCCATGACTTTTCTGTTGAAAAATTCAGAGATTCAAGATCCTTTTCTGAATATCCACCTGCAATTTTGTCAAAGTTTTCAGTTGTATGGACTTCATAAACTTGCCTCTTTTCATTTGCAGAATAGATACCTTTGGAGTCACTGGTTGGATCAAAATCAAAGACAGCCTTGGTATCAAAATACTGGATGAAGGACAGGTTTTCTTCAATATAGCCATGATCCATGGATGTGTCTAGTGGACTTATCAGTAACACTGGATATATTTCATCTTCTATTGTTTCACTGCCACCTGTAAACAGATTGAGAATCTTCTTCCTCAAATCTGGTGGCACATAGGAAGGTGATGATTGGATCTCCTGTTGAAGTCTCAATTCTGTCAGGCTCTTCTTCTTCTTCATAAAATCATAAATGTCTTTTTCAGAAAGTGAAGTTATGGTTCCATCAATTAATCTGTACAATTGTTGCTTCTTGGCCTTGTGTGCACCTACCATCTTGCCACGAATAAAGAAGGCTTCCTCCATCACAACCTTTCCACTGGGAACAACATCGACCTCCAACACCCAGAGTGGTCTGTCTTGTGTCTCAGGATCAGCAACTTCTATAAACTTCCCGGACCGAACTGCCTGAAATGCTATGTCCTGCTGATCTTCATAAAATGCCTCTCCAATCAGTTGTCTGATGTTGTCTTCACACTTCTCTCTGTCAAGATGAATTCCAACAACTTGTCCCTGGCCAAGATCAGAAGGCAATGGATTGATGCCGACATAGAGCGTTCCATTAGTTCGGTCATTCATGCAAGCAGATGCAAACATCACCGTCTCCTTGGCAATCTTCCTGTACAAATTTTTCTCGCCTTTCTCAAGTTGCAGAAACTTCTTTACAGGGTTGATCATGTTCTCTCGTGAGTAGCCTGATATTTCTATCATCCTTCCCCTTGTGTATCTATCTGTTGGGGATACAGGGAAGTCAAACCTCCTGAAGTGCTCTTTGTAAGGAGCTGCAGCAATTGATCTTGCTGATGTATCACCCTGTCTAGTTAGCTTTGTTTGTTCAGATGCAGATGCAGCAACTGTTGTTTGTGATGCATTGCCCTCTGTAGTAGTTTGTGTGGTTAGCACAGATGGAGCTGCAGCAACTCTAGCTTCTGGTTTATCAGTTTCACTAGTTAGTGTTGTATGTATTGGGAGTTTAATGTCCTGCTTTGTAAATTCAGTTTTTTGTTCTTTCATCTCTTTGATTTTCAACATTAGTTTACGTCTCTTCCCAAATGAGAGTTCCTTAGGGGAGAATTCCTGTTTGAAATCTTCCTCTTTCATTGTCAAGAACACAACTCCATCAATATCTAATTCTTTGAACTTTTCTGCAAAATGTTCGCCAAGCTTAAGACTCATAAAAATGGGTGTTAGATATGTAATCAGTTCCTCAACTGTCAGTGACTCTATATCTCTGTGGTGACTTGCAGGTTCTGAAATGAAAATTGCATAGCATAAACAATAACAATGGTGAGAGGCTGAAAATAATGCAGAAGTATATTATTCTCAGTTAGTCCTCACAGTCAATTAAAACTTGTTGCCAAGGCCAAGTGACTGATTGAGTTGGGTTTTATTGAGTTGGGTTGGGTCTATTGTAAGTGACCATAGTGATAAAGAAATATATATCGCTGGCGATTTTAATGCCAGAACAAAGGATTTTCAGGACTACATTCCAGATGATAATATTAATTTTGTATCTAGTAATGGTGATAGCATTGATGGATACCCAACTGACGATTTTTGTTTGCCTAGATCTAATAAAGATACTTCTCATAATAACTATGGTAAAACATTGGTCGAAACATGTTGTACATTTGGTAAACATCTATTCAATGGCAGATTGTGTAATGACAAATGTGGTAATTTCACATGTTTTACACATAATGGCCAGAGTGTTGTTGACTACATGATGTCATCAACAGCTATCTTTTCTAATGTATCAGATTTTGGTATAGCTTTGAGTGATTCATCAAATCATTTTCCATTGTACTGCTCGTTAAGAATTTCCTTGGATGATATTAATAATGGACATGAAGGTTGTGTAAGTAAGGTTTTTTCTGATACTGATAAGGGTCCTAATGTTGTCAGTGAGTGGCCAAGATATATATGGAATGGCAATGAATGTCAAGTATTTATGGAGAACTTTATATCAAACCTATCAGATGTTCATGATGTTTTGGGTGATCAGATTATCAATGATGCTGAAGTAGCTTTAGACTCTATTGTCAAGATATATAAGTCTTCAGCAGAACAGTTTAAAAGAATATATAAAGGATGCCCTATAAGAATATGCAATCAACCTCCATGGTGGGATAGCGATTTAGAAGATTTAAAAAATAGAAAGTATCATGCTCTTCGGGCCCATAGAGACCAGGGTTATGACTTTAGTGAATTTAGAAAGTTGCGAAACTTGTTTAAATCTAAATTTAGATTCAAGAGATATGTTTACCAGAATGATATGAGACAAAATTTAATTGACTCTAGAAACAATGCTAAATTATTTTGGAGAAGGCTAAAACAGGTTGCTTATGGTGAAAGCATTTCACAAAGAATTAGTAGCTATGATTGGATTTTAGTAACCTTCTGTGTGTAGATAACATATCCACTGAGGGTTTTGATTATGACATATGTAATACGGAGGTAGAAGAGGCATCTATATTTAACTTAAATGGCCCTATTACTATGATGGAAGTTTTGTTTCATATTGATATGTTGGGATTAAATAAGTCCCCTGGTCCTGATGGCCTTGCTGCTGAATTTCTGAAAGCATCATCAGATTATATTCTACCTGTGTTGGTCTTATTGTTTAACAACATATTTGATAATGGTGAATTCCCTAAAGAATGGGGGAAAAGTATACTATGTCCTTTATTTAAGTCAGGAGATAAACACTGTATTGATAATTATCGTGGAATCTCTTTGATAGATATTATTTGTAAAGATTTTTGCACTACTCTTAAATCCAGAATGCAGCTTTGGTGTGACGAACATAATGTCATTAATGAAGCACAGTTTGGCTTCAGAGCTAATCCCTCCACTATTGATAGTATTTTCTGTTGCAATCTATTGCCCAAAAATATGCCCATAGGAACAATGGAGGATATATTGTTTATTCATAGAGTGAGTGAGTGAGTTAGGTTTAACGCCGCTTTTAACATTATTCCAGTTATATCGCGGCGTGTCAGCTTAATGTGGGAGGAAAGCCCGAAGTGATGCAGGTCTCAGACGTTTACCACTTCGGTGAAACCCACGAGCACGGGTATGGTGCTGACAAACCTAGAAACATAATCGGGGCGAACCGGGATTCGAACCCACAATCATAGGTTTCTGGTGTGCCCAAGGGATGCAACTCTGCACAGCGAATCGCGGCGCCTTAGACGACTGGGCCACCCGTGCCCCCGTTTATTCATAGACTTTTCAAAGGCTTTTGATTCGATTAAACATGACGTTTTGTTAAAAAGCTTAAATGAATTAGGAGTTAGTGGCAAATTTTTTAAGATAATAGTTTCAATGTATTCAATTTAAGTGCTTGTGTAAGACTCTCTGGTGGTTTATCAAATTATTTTAGGTGTAACATTGGTACGAGGCAGGGATGTACCTTAAGCCTGCAGTTTTTTATTATTTTTATAAACAAGTTAATGTACTTCATGCAAGAAACTGGTGGCAGGGGTGTCTATGTTTCACCTTCCTTTAAAGAGATGTTTGTTTTGATGTTTGCTGACGAAGTGTCATCTATGGCAGATTCATGTTTCCAGTTACAAAAAAAGATATATGCCTTGGAACACTTTTGTGATGTAACGGGTATGAAAGTTAATTTGAATAAAACAAAGATAATGGTTTTTCGTAATGGAGGCCCTTTGCGTGCATATGAGAAGTGGTATTTTATGGAAAAAACAGATTGATGTTGTATCTGGGTCTGGTTTTTACGCCCAAACTTGTTTCACTTACCGCCCAAGCACAAAAGGCTTTATTGGCTATTTATACATATTCCAGGAAATTCGGTAATTTATCATGTAAAGATTTGTTTAAAATATTTGATGCTACAGTTGTACCCATTCTTTGTTATGGTGCAGAGATATGGGGTGTGAATAACTGTAGGAGAGTTGAAAGTGTACAGATACAGTTAAGTAAATGGATACTTAAAGTTGGTAAAAGTACTACAAATAATATGGTTCTAGGGGAATGTGGAAGAATTCCTCTCCAGTATATTTATATGACAAGAGCAGTTAAATATTGGACTAAACTTATTTCTTTAAATGACAATAGATTACCATTTCAATGTTATAGCATGATGTTATCACAGGATGGGAGTGGAAACATATTCTGTTTCAATTTGGATTTGGATTTGTTTGGGTTGCACAGGATGTGGGTCATATTGATACATATATTTCAACATTCAAGCAGGAATTGTTTGATAATCTCCATCAAAATTGGGTTGAGGTAGTTCTTCAAAGACATATTATTATAGGCAGTTTAAGTCATTACTCAATGTTGAATTGTATCTATCCTATAATCTACCTTTATCTGTCAGGACAGCCATGTCAAGATTTAGATGTGGTAATTATGGACTTGCAATAGAAACGGGACGTTAAAATAATATTGAATACTTAATGCGATTGTGCCCTTTTTGTCTCAAGGAAGGTATTTCATCTATTGAAGATGTATTACTTGTGTGTAAACAGTATGATACCTTAAGAAGTATGTACATTGTTAATCACTTTAGATCAGCCTCATTACAGGCGTTTATAAGTATTATGTCATCAGATAATTATAATGTTATTCATGATACTTGTCAGTATTTACATAAAGTTTATAAGCACAGAATTGCATTCTTAAAGGAAGAGTGATATCATAGTTCATTTAAACATAATGTTCAATGTTAAACAACTTTTGTCAACATTTGAAACATGTACCACACTTTCTTGCATAAGTATTCTGTCATCATATGATCATGTTATTCATGATACCTGTCAGTATTTACATAACGTTTATAAACACAGAGCTGCACTCTTAAAGGATGTGTGATATTTATAGTTCATACCAACTTACTATTTATAATATTAAACAACTGTTGGCAACATTTGAAACATGTACCACATTTTCTTGCAAAAGTATTAGGTCATCAGATAATTATGTTATTCATGATACTTGTCAGTATTTACAAAAAGTTTATAAACACAGAGCTGCACTCTTAAAGGATGTGTGATATTTAAAGTTCATTCAAACACACTATTTATAATGTTAAACACCATGTACCACATTCTTGCAAAAGTATTAGGTCATCAGATAATTATGTTATTCATGATACTTGTCAGTATTTACATAAAGTTTATAAACACGGAACTGCACTCTTAAATGATGAGTGATATTCATAGTTCAATGAAACATAATGTCTCAATGTTAAACAACTGTTGGCAACATTTGAAACATGTACCACACTTTCTTGCATATGATTGTACATCTGCCTTTATATTAGCGTAAGTGCAGTACATGTTAATAAAATCAAGCATGTATTATGGGCCTTTGGCCTTTATACTGTAATAAAGAATCTGAACTTATCCTGTCTCATATATTGCATATTGTCTCATTTTAAACCTCGATCGCAAATGCAATCATGGCCATTGTACACAAATTGAAAGATCCTACATTAAAGCACCCCCATCTGTGACACACCTTCATTCATCAAAGTCGAAGGACAATTACCGGTAGGCGAGTTGATCCTCAGAGAGGTAGGACAAGTGGGCAATATAAACTAGTGTCCAAAAGAAACGATACCAACTTATTTTCAAAATTGTTTTTTACTAAGTGAATTGTCAAGTATGAAAACATGCCAATTCGTATTGCACATCCCAAACACAGCATTGTCGATAAAAAATACTGGGAACACGTGATCACTTCCGGGAAAAAACGTAAATTTCGTGAAAGTGACATTTCCCTCTCTAGCATGTTCTGCACGTGCAGAAAAACTGTATAAAACGGCTGATGAGACACGTTGATATCACTGCAACAAAAAGAACACAAGATATGCCACGTTTGACAGCCATCGAGAGAGAGAGAGCCATTGGAATGGTCCAACAAGGAACGTCACATGCGGACGTCGCCAGAAGGTTGGGCTGCGCACGCATCACTATCACCAGGTTGATGCAGCGGTTACGTCAGACAGGCCCAGGTGTGGAAGACCACGAGTAACCACGCCCCGTGAAGATCGTTACATCCGGGTATTACACCTGAGGAACCGCACCGTAACAGCGACGTCCACGGCGGCTACAGCACTGGGACACAGGATCAGTCGACAGACCGTCTACAGGAGACTACGGCAGTATGGTATCCGGCCACGTCATCCCTACCGCGGACCGCTCCTGACGCCTCACACCGGAACAACAGACTGATCTGGGCCAGGCGAGTTCGACGTTGGCAACGGCGGGACTGGGCACGTGTTATGTTCTCTGATGAGAGCAGATTCCTCATCTTCAGAAACGATGGACGGCAGCTTGTATACCGACGATTTGGTGAACGTTTGCCGCCTAACTGTATCCAACAGGTCCGGCCGTTTGGAGGTGGAGGGTTAATGGTTTGGGGTGGCATATGTGGTGACGTCAAAACGATGCTTGTCGTAATTCGTGGAAACCTGAATGCACAGCGTTATCTTGATGACATCCTACGGCCTGTTGTGGTGCCCTTTATTCAGCAACAGCCTCGTGGACTCCTTTTCCAACATGACAATGCAAGGCCACACACAGCAAGATTGACACAGAACTTCCTTGCCAACGCCAACGTACAGGTTTTGCCATGGCCCGCATGTTCACCGGACATGAATCCCATCGAGCACTTATGGGACCACCTCGATCGGCAAATCCGACGTTGCCGTGTGCCTCCAGTCAACGTCCAGGACTTGGAACGATGTCTCCTCGAGGAATGGCAACGCATCACTCCCAACGTCATCAGACATTTGACGTCATCAGTCCGTAGGCGTGTTCTGGCATGTATTGATGCTCACGGTGGACATACCCGCTACTGACTTGACTTTGAGACGTGTGGTGTGACATTTCCCGTTGTTTCTGTGATCAGTGCTCTAACGAAATGTTCATTTTTCGACCCCACCCATCTTTAAAGGCTTGTCATATTGGTTGTACAGATTTTATTGAAATGAAATTTTTGTACAGATGTTGTGAAAGGATTTCTCAAAAGCATAACACCAATCCTAAACTTCTGCATTGTTTAGTTTTTCTTTTATGTCGTTGCAAACAGGTGGTATCGTTTCTTTTGGACACTAGTTTATCATGTGAGACAATATAAGAATATTAAATTTAATGTAAAATTAATCTTTTTCACTTATCCTGTCTCACATATTACATATACAACAGTCAAGATGGCGGGAGTTCAATTCGTCCAATAAGATCTGATGGGAATGGGAATATAAACCTCTCATGTGCTAAATTGATTTATGTCAATAACTGGTGTCAACCCAATAGGCACCCGGCAACAACAAAGATATGATTTATGTCAAATAACTGATGTAACCTTAACAGGCACCAACACTAATGACTATGACCAGGGCTAAGAATAACCAGGTACGCAATAAAACAGGATTAACATGCAGGCAGAACATGCATGTGATCTGAGATGACACTGCTGAGTGTGAGGGTGAGGAAAGAGGCTTCGCCACGTTTGAAGTCGGAAAACGGAAGAGCTTAATATGTGGAGGAGAGTAGGAAACTATAGTCATACCAGATGAATGGGCATGACCAAAAGCAGTCAAAGCATTCAAGTCTTCTTTATCTTCCGTATTCCACTCCCTCCTCATGTTGGCCTTGAAGAACTTGTTGAGACAGACGTCAGGTGGCTGCAACAGTGAGGTGCATCCACCGGGGATCACAGCCTGCTGTAATTTGCTGTCCACCAACTTCTTTATGGCTTCACACAAATGGGCATGGAACATGTCCCACACAAGCAGGAACTTGCAGCCTCAGCAGCACTGGGTCTCTTCATCCACACATTCTCTATCCACTTGGGTACTAGAGGCTCATCCATCCACCCTTTTTCTTATACTGTGACGTACCTGCCACTGGGGAAATTGTCTTTAGGCATCGTCCTCCGCTTGAAAATCTGAATTGGGGTTAGCTTGGTCCCATCAGCCAAACAGAAGTGTTGCTTCTCTGCTCCACATGTACGTACTGACACCCTTGGTGTCGATGGTCCTGATCCAAGCATGTCGAAGTTAAGAGAAGTTTCATCCATATTGCCGATCTGGCGTAAATCATAATTAACTTTCTTCCACTCACAGATGACAAACTCTTGAAAAAACTCCACTTCAGGAGGAAGTTTCTGGACAATGTGGGTTTTCTGCCTCAGTGCGAGGTTGTGTCGTCTCAAGAATTGCAAACACCAGTTTCCCGATGCCTTGAACGACTTTGGGAGATCCATGTCCTTCCTCGTCTGATAAATATGGAGAGCTCGCTGCTGTATCATCATGCGTGTGACGATGCATGCTGACTGTCGCAAGTCATCGATCCACTGAAAAAGAATATCTTCGAGTGGCTTGAATGGAGTCTCTGATCCTCACTAGGCCTTCTTCATCTTTGGCAGCTCCTCCAGTGACAGCTTTGCTTTCCTCCAATTCCTTGAGATCTTCTACCACATCTTCTTAACCATGTTAACCCCCTAATCCTAGGTATGAAAAACTTGCCTTATAAAAAGCATGTCTGCTCTGTCTCCTCAGCCGAGGGACACACAGGTGACATAGTGTCCTTTGCGATAGGATGCGACGTATGAGGCAGAACTATTGTTTCTACTGAAATGTCCCAGATGGCGATGGTAGGGGTGTCAGACTGATCATCAGACATTGTTGAACAGCCACCTAGGTCAAGGTAGATTAAACTTTAGCATGGTGTAATACCCATTCATGTTTATCATGAAACAACCACATAGGTCTAACTGTGGCGTGTAACGAATCTGCAAACCAAAATGGATAAAAGTAATCCATGTTCTCTACTGCTTGATGAAGTTAAGCAAGGAGCAAAACCTTGGCCTTGTGCATCATGGACAAGTTGCATACGGGTAGGGTATTGCAAAGTTTGCTTTCGCAAACAAGGTTTCCACCCTTAGTTCGAAAAGAGAGACAAAATGCAATATGTGAGATAGGATAAGAAAACAATTAGTTATATCACAGCTTTCCAGAATAATATGAGAGAAAATGATGCTAGATTCTACAGTTACATCTTTGGTGAAGCTGACATAGCAGAGGGTCATAATCAGGTTGAATCTGGGATTCAAACTGCAATCATCACAACAGACCAGATGAAATTACACTTTATAAGCAGAGAAAGTTTCTGCAGCAGGGCTAATAATCCATTTGTAATGGACTTACCATTACTGGTACCATGAGTAGGTGCTCCAACATTACTGTCTTCACTAGTACCAGTGCTAGCAGCCGCAGCAACAGCAACAGCAGATACTGTAGTAGTTGGCACCTCAAGAGGAGAAGCTACTTTAGGAACCACTACTTTTTCTTCTTTTGCACCAAGGTGCAAAAATGTGGGACTATCTAAGTCAAGGAAATGAATGGATTCGAAGTCTATGCAATGCCCTCAAACATGTTTGGCTATCCATGTACACATTGAGATTGAATTTATAAACCCCAAGGTGAAAATGGTGCAGTAGAGCACTTCTTAATGATGAACAAAGTATCTTAATGACAATTATCATTCACACATAGTTTCAACTTTATGTGTCTTTTAGTTTCTGAGAAGAAGAAAAGAAATGAAATATCATTCACATTTGATTTAGAACACCTACAAAACAAAAATGCTCATTCCTTCTAAAGTTGAAAATGTGAAATGTTATTAGGACAGACAATCCACTGCCTCCCTTTGTGGTATATTATTACTGCATGTTATTGAGTGCTGTAGAAACACATGGTATTACCATGATTACATATTGTCAATATTGTCTTCTGCATTTTGGCACATTGAAAAGAAATGAAACTTGTCTGTAGGCCTTTTTTTGACAATTGAGATATTCAGGACAGATCTAACAGTGTGAACGTCACATATACAATATTTACAATCAATATGTCAGCAGATTGTTAAGGATACACCATTCCCTTCCTGCCTGGCTCAAAGAGAACTCCCGAGAAGACCTCAATGACAAAGTCTTTCAGTTTGTTATCCTTCCAGTCAAAGTTGACACCTCTTCCCCTCAGTACACAGACAGCATTCCTCACATCAGGCAAGGTGCAGCTTTTCCCTGCCTCATCCACAAAGTTCTTCAGAAGTATCTCCCTCACCATGCTGTTGATGTCGTAGCTGGGCTCATCTACAATAAATACCGTATTCAACGTAATATGTGCCCAGGGCTTGTATACATTGATCAATCGGATGGGTGCAAATTGGGATTGTTCACTAGCCAATATATTCGCAAATATCGCCATGGGTGCTTATTTGAGTGGGGCGCTTATTACGTTGAATATGGTAAGCAATATCAACGTTTCTGGACCTCTGGTACTCTGGTCAGTATCTTTACCATTCAAGTGGATGATTCATTGTTGGGTTCCCTGTCATTTTGAATAATAACACGTTTTACCTTGAACATCACTGGCATCAACCTCTGTTTTGTTTAGTCGATCAAAGATGTATTTCTGATGCTTCTTAACAACACCCAGAAACCACTTATAGCCATTTAGGCAAGACGGTTTGTGTTTCAGGATATGCAACAGTTTCTCATTCTTGTCAGCATCCACTGGTTCATATTTCACCCTCTGTTCATCTTCATCAGTCAGTATATCATCTGGACAGGACTTGAGGTCATCGAGGAGGTAGACGGCGGTCAGCTCCTTCCTCAGAAAATCCCAGTTGTTCTGGATCTTTGCCCAGTCTTTTCTGTCCATCTTCTTTGTTCACTGCAAATACATAATGTTTGATATGTCAGTGGGTGCTGCTGTGGTTAACATAAATCCTTATCTACATGTCATTACGAAGGACTAGAATCGACTTAAAGAAAAACCCGACAATGCGTGTTCTGAAGACATGTTTGTTCATTAAAAATGTGCTCCAAAACACACCCGGAAACTATAGATCGCGCTTCACGTGCAGTCATGTTAGTTTTAAAGGGGAAGTGTACACGCAAAAATCACTTTCTTTCTTTTTGGAAACAAAACGCAATTTTAGAATTAATTAGTATCTGTGTTTGAAAATATACACTCATTTCTTTCACAGTGAACGTAGGAAGCTCACAATAGTGTGAAAATGATATGCCGTTATGAGGCCTTCGTTTTTCGAGCTAAACAGGCCTGAGTTATCCCCCTTAGATTATGACGTAATTGGTGCCAATTCAACTGGGTCCCTGTCTATTCTCAACGCAAAAGATATCAAGTACCAGTTTGCGGTAAAACAACATGGCCTACGACACACTCCGGCGCAGTGGTGACTCAGCATAACACTATGCTGGCTGGCATCTGAGACGCTAGAATCACACACCTGGACCTACACCACGTGAAGCGGCTCTAACAAAGCATGATGACGTCATAATGTTTATCAATTGGCACCAATGACGTCATATTGCAAGGGGCATAAGCCATGGTGTTTTTGTTGTGGAAATAGAACACTTGGTAAATGTGAAAAAAAAAATAGTTTTAATGCGAAAAATATGTTAATTAATTGTGATATTTTTATATTTTTGTCTATGACACTTCTAGGTTAACACTTTTAATGTGGAAAAAGTACAAGAAAAATAGGTTCATTTCCGTGTGAACTTGCCCTTTAAATAAAGAATCTGTTCTTCAAAGCGCACCCGATGCATAACGATCGCATCGCCTGAACACACCAAAGTATGGCTGTGACTGCACGTGAAATGTGAGGGTTGTGAACAAATATAAGGCGGTAGCGCGCATCAATTAGTTAGTTGGTGAGAGTTTATTAGAGAGTTTGTTAGTTTGATGGTTAGAGGTGAGGTGAAATTGGGTTTAACGTCGCGTCCAAGATTATTGCACTTATATAGCGACGTGCATGCACGTGTGTGTCTGTGGCTGCTTGTACTAGTCCGGACTAATGCCAATTTATAGTGCTAGCTCACTGAGATACCATGCCGCAGTTTAACATGAATACCCCACTCAGACACAGTATACGGACTCCGAGCCGACCAGTCCTTGTTTTAGCCCCTTGATGTCGAGCGCCAGACAGGGTAACAACAAGTACCATCTTTTAACGTCTTTTGGTATGACGCGGCCGGGGATCGAACCCCGGACCTTCGCTCTCCAGGCGGACGCTCTACCACAAGACCACGGAGGCGGCTTAGATGGTTAGAGAGATGGTTAGAGAGCTGGTGTTAGACAGCTGGTGTTAGACAGCGTTAGACAGTGTTAAGACTCCCGTAGGAGTAACCAATACATTAGCATACAGTAACTGTTAGAATAAGCATTAGTTCTAGATATTTAGTTTCTTTCATTTGAGGTTTATTCATCTTTCCTTCACATAATAACAGGTAATCACGTTTAGTTCCTTTTAGATCTTCATAGTTTTTTAATAGGTTATCACGTTTAGTTCCTTGTTTCTTTCAAAAAAGGTAAGTCATACAAATTTAAGATTAGTTTTCATTTAAGTTAAACCACGCTCAAATATTCAGTTCCACTGCGCAACAATGCGTCTAAAAGAAGTGCAGCCTAGGAGGGGCCATTGGGTAGCCAAGTGGTTAAAGTGTTCGCTCTTCATGCCGAAGACCTTGCTTCCATTTTCTTCATGGGTACAACGTGTGAAGCCCATTTCTGGTGTCCCCATCCATGATATTGCTGATATATTGCTAAAAGCGGTATTAAACCATACTCACTCACTCACTCATTACATCTCCGACTGGTTGCAAATCATAAAATAATTTGTTTGTTAATAATCTCTTTATTATTCACCTACCTCAAAATACATATGTATGTGTATACAGAAAATTGGGGTGTAGGGTGGGTTTGTGTGTGTGGGCATCCTCTTTTTTTAAGCATACTATGCATTTTGATGTATAAGAAAGCATAAAACTAACTATTTTGGTGACGTCAACAAAAATGACAATAAATAAAGTTAAGTTTACATGGTTAACAAACGCAAATTGTTAAGCATTCATGTTTTTTGTTTCAAGTCCAACTCATACTGATAAGGAAATACACAATACGATAACCACAGCTCTTGTGGTAGATGAGGCAAATAATTGAGGCCTGGTATTATGAAGCATACAAACATAAATTAATGGTTCATATTTGAGTGCCAAATGAGATTCCAGGGGTTTGGCCTTGTCAGTTGGGTGTTAGGGGTTGGGCCTTGGGTAAGTATGTTTGTTTGTTTGTTTGTCTGTTTGTTTATTTTTATTTTTTTTATTTATTTGTTGTTTAACGCTGCACTCAGCAATATTCCAGCTATGTGATGGCAGTCTACTCAGTTCGGATAAGATTACATGCATCAACGAAGTCAGAGAGCCTCATTAAACCACCAGACATGACAAGCATAGACAGCTCTTAAGACAAGTAAAAATTGGGTTGCTGAAGACCAATTCTAACCCAGATCTTCAGGGTGGGCCTTGTGGTTTAGTGGTGTCCTTTCCCCCTCCTGTTTGAAGTATACTCTCCATTTATACAATAGTAATAGTTATTGTAATCAACATTACAACTATCTCATTTGTTGCCAGGTTTTTAACACAAAGAACATGTCTACCTAACTCAAAATGTTTCAGATATTTGCAATCATTGAGAACTTGTGATCACAAAATGCAGCACACTTTCCCAAAAAGCTATGTCTACATTTGCATGCCAAAACCCATCACCTTAAAGTTATAATACCTACTTGGATATCCAAAACAAACAGATTTATTTCAAAAATATCTTACTGTTAGGCCAGCCTTCTTATTTCTTGGTTTACATACTTGGTGAGAAATCTTGGTCATAAGTAGGTTGGATAAAAGATAAAATATTTAAGATATTTCAGAATACAGTAAGTCATGAAATTAATGCTTCACCCCATAATGGGAATGTTGACTCCTGGCCTAAAATATGTCATGAATGTTAGGCGAGTAGCCCTGCCTTTGAACCATAAAAAAGCTAATCAGTAAATGATAATACCAAGACTGGAGACATATAATTCCATGATACAGTATAGGGAGACAACAGAGACTGTGAATATCATTTGCTATTTTCACAAACTGATCTTCAACTGCTTCATATGTGGTCAAACAGGCATGAAATAACAGCAGGAAATTCCACCCCAAACAACACATATTCCAAGGAGATAGGTAGATACTGGTTCAAAGTGTTGTTACATGAGTTAGCACTATCCTTTGAACTTGAATGAGGAGTGTCATATATTCAACACAACTCATGTTGCTTTACTTGGGTCTTTATACAAACGTGACGTCTCATGGACTAGAGTAGCTTCCCTTTGATAAAGGGCAGTAACTCTGATGGGTGGACCAATAGATTGCCACAAAAGGCAAGGCAACAAAATGTGAAGGCAATTGGTTTCTTCCCAAATATGTAGTTACGCCACTGTCTAAACACACAGGTTGCAACTATTTATAGAATAACCCACGAGGTACGAGTGATTACGGAAAATATGTCACGAGTGAAATTAATGTTTTAAGTTAAAACATTAATTTCACTCGTGACATATTTTCCGTAATCACTCGTACCGAGTGGGTTATTCTATTTATTACCCATATTCATATTAAAGACATGTTTCAAGAAAAAAACAATCAACTGTCGCCGATCAAGAATCAGCTGTTTTGTATCAATCCGCGTGTGAAAAAACACTGTCCACTCACTCCAACCGCATTACTCAATCAACGTCTTGCTACGCGTAAAAATATAGTTCTGTTAACAAAACTTGAAAGATCACAGTTATATTTCTGTCTGAGTTACACAGCGTACACTATCTAGCATTGCTAAAAGAAGACAATTTTCAAAAAAAGGTTCAACAGGCTTTTTAATCAAGGCTTGTTTTGACAAGACCTCTCATTGACAAGACAATAGCCGTCGTGCATCACCATGGACATGAATTTCACATTGAGAAAAGGATTGCTGTCAGTGTCGGAAAGAATGACCCGACTTGACCCAGATATGAGACAGCCGAAACCAGGAATGACAAGAGAACCGGCGTTACAGTTTAATCCGGACAACAAGTTTAATGAACATCGTTTGTGATTTGAGACAAGTGTGGCTGATGGGAAACATGTGCATGTGGGATTTTAGGAGGACTTGTCAAACGCGCTTGTGGAGTGGACAGTCAGATGACGGGAGTTTGTTGATATTTTGATGTGATTCATAATGGTCGAATACCTGTCGATAGACTAACACGGTATCTGGAGACTTAGTGACAAGCTGTCCGCATTCACGGAGTTCATTTAGTTCAATGTCGGACACAGGATCACCTCGCTGGGGTAAGTTTTCTTTTCCTTGTATTTTTAATTATTTTTGTTTTGATTTCAAAACCTATTTGAGTTCAGCAAAGTGCATCGATTTTGCAACCAGATGTTGGTAATCTTGTCGCTAAGCGAGTGCTACCATGATCTCCTTCAAAGTAGGCATTTCGAATTCTGAACTGTCTGATGTGCATGCCGAAATGATAAATTTGCAAAGAATAATGTTTAGTTGCACCTTTCCTGTGTCATTAACCCTCATAGTCGTATTGTGCCCGAACGTCAGTCAGCATACCGCTCAGCGCCGTACTGTGCTGACGTCACGGTTACAAAAACGTATACATTGTATAAAAAAGTGTCGCGTTCTTATTTCTTAACACAATGTTACAAACTTAAATTCTACGAAATGGCGTATGTTTATAATGTCTTTCGGAAAGTCTAACTGTTGTTGCAAAAGGAATTTGTTTTTATTCTAATGCCATCATTGAAAGTGTGAGTAGTCTTATTTTTCGTGTT